TGTGCGCACGGATGGGTGTGTTTGGGAGGGAAGCACGGCTAAGTATGTAAGGCGAATTTCAAACAAAGGCTGAAATGTCAGTGAAAGGTTGTGGCTGCAGGGCTCGTGCATGGATGTGTAGTCCTTCTACCTACACTACCGAAGAAGGGGGAGGAGCCTCGTGCTTACAGCAGCTGAGTGTTTCTACATGTGACTGGCCTGTGCCTTGGAACATTACTGCCACCCCACTGTAGTGGAGACAGTGCCAACAGCAGCAGTACTGACCATCCCTGCCCTGTTTACGTCAGTATGCGAACAGAGGAATGTCCAAACTGTGGCCTATTTACAAAACAAGCTATTTAGTTACTTTCCTTGGTGACCTGCTAACACAGTTGTCTTGGGTCTTTACGCTTAGAGATCAGAATCACCATTCAAACAAGTCATTAAGTCGCTTTAAATGCATTAATAGCTACTTGATTAATGTTACCACTCCCCATGATCAGTATAGAAGTCATAAAATCACATCCATGCGCCGCATTTGCATTTCCCCGTGAAAAGCAGGGTTTGTTTACATGTGTTCTTTTTATGTGTTATGCCCAATTAGGTCAGTGTGCTGACAAATCACGCCAGCCACCCAAAAATTATTTCCACTCTGAGGGGAAAATTGAGCTGAGAGTGGAAGGGATGTGACATTTGGGAACGTGCTGAAAACTGCTGAACAAAACTCACTACACACTGCACATGTAGACTTGTGGTAGAATATGGAAATAAATAGGCTTATGCACTTTCCAAGGTGTGGTCACTGGTTGCTGGTGTCTTTCTGCTGGTCTTCCCCTTTTTTTGGTAGTGAAAAAAAAACATCTTTGTGAATTTTTCTTGCTTCTAACTTGCATTAATTTTTACGGTATCCTTGCCCAACACTGTTTTATTTATCATTTCTAACATCTTTTACTTTAATTCAAGGTTTAAAGTACTAATTTATAAATTATGGAAGTTACAATGCTCCCTTGCAAAGTATTTAGTTTTATTGATTTCAGCACTAAAGCCACAAAATAAACTGTTGAATAGGGTTTGGGGTAAATAACCATTCAAATCAGAGTTGAATTTAGTGATATTGATATATATTTAGTGAATCTAGAGTATTGTTGTATCTTCTGTGTGTCTATTTCTTGCTTGGTTGTGCAGTAAACCAAAGTGTAAAGCATCCATTTATCAGAATCAGAATCAGAATACTTTATTGATCTCTGGGGGAAATTATTTTTTTGTTACAGTGCTCCATTATACTCAGTGAAACTCAAACAGCTGGAGGGCATCAAATACATCAGATATGGTTAATTTTAAGATTTAGAATTTTTTAAAATTGTCAATATCTCCACTGTGGGAATCTAATTAATTTTAACAGTTAATCACCCAAATTCTGGACAAAACCAAAAATAATTTGAGGTGCTTGTATGCACCACAAATTAAGTCCTTTCACCTCAATGGTCTTGGCGTGAAGCGAGGAATCTCAGAACGGATATTGCAAAGCCTGGACAAATAAAACAAAAATTATCTGCATGGCTTGATCTCACTTGAGAT